GGCAGACCCCCACTCCCACCCCATGACAACAAACGTGCCCCCCCAGCTCATGCACCTCTCCCCAAGGGAAGAGGGGCATACCTCTGTTCCGATAGCACAGTCCTAAGGATGTTTCTCATTGGCTAGCTTGGATCACATGGTCACCCTCAAACCAATTACTGGACAAGGGGACGAGCTGCTCAGACTGGTCAGACCTCCTCTTGGGCCCACTTGGGTGTTAGGGGCTGAGGAGGACAAGAATGATGGGTAGTTGGACGCGAGTGAACACTGATCCCAGAGGGTAAGTGCAGGACAGGCGAAATGAACACAGGGTCACTTACTCTTCCAGCTGGCGCTCAGAGGCCAGGGCCAGCTGCCATCCACTGACCCACATTCCCAGTGTCCTGCATGTACCTTCAGGGGCCTGGTCCACAGGCTCCTTTCCCTTCGGAGAGAAGGAAGCTTCTTGGGGATGGCTTGTTCTCCGTGAGCCCCCGTGCGTCCCTGGGGATCAGTTCCTTTTCTTCTTCATCGTCTTTTTTTTTTTTAAAGCCTCACCATTTGTTATAGTCCCCAAAGGAAAAGCCATCAGCACTGGAACCAATCAAGTTATTATAGTTCATTCAGAAAATGAAATATTATACAGCATTGAAAATGAATAAATCTGTACATAAAACAACTCGAATGAGTCTCACAAGCATAATATTGAGTTAAAGAAGCTGAATATAAAATACACTTCCTATATGATTCCATTTACATGGGTGAAACTAAAATATAGATTCCCCAGCTCCTTGGCTAAGCACTCACTAAGAAATAATGCCGTTATCATCTCTGAGCCTTTGAGTTCAGGAATGTCTTTCCCCTCCTCTTTACCCAGAGAAAGGCCACAGTTAGGGGCGCACTTTAGATTTTGCGGTCCCACGGAAGATGATGAGGCTTTCTGCTCCCAGAAGGATTTACAGCCTCGGAAACCCTATACAGGGTCACTAGGAGTCGGAACCGATCCATGGTACATAACCATCACCACCACCAAAATATCTCCTTGGAAACCCTATTCAAGGTCGCTATGGGTCAGAACCGAGTCGACAGCACTTAACAACAACATAGGTATCTAAAGCTGATAGGTAGATGCTGTGGGGTTTGGTTCTGACTTCATGGTGTTGGGCAGAATGAAGGGTTGTTCCATCCTGCGCCGCCCTTCCATGTGGGCATGTTTGAGCCCCTATCCTAGTCCATCTCTCCAGGGGCTTCCTCACTCTGGCTGGCTCTCTGTTTCACCATATGTGGTCTCTTCCTCCAGCAATGGCTCCTTCCTGATCATGTGCTCAAAGCACATGAGGTTGATAATCTTCCCTTGTGATCCGTAAGGTTTTCATCAGCCAGCTCTTTTTTTAAAGTTTTTATTGTGAATTACGTGGGTTTACATGGGAGAACATCAGTTTTACATTCATCCTATTGTATTTCATATCATTTCAATGATTACAGTCCCCTCCATGCATCATCAAACAACCAAAAAGTACACCCCACAGGCCTGCCCCCCTGGCTGTCAGCACACAGCCCCTCTCCCTCCCTGAGTCCCATGTCCCCAGCTGCTCCATCTCTCCACATCATCGTCTCTGCCTTCATCTCTGGCATCAATCCTTCTCTGGGTAGGGTCCCGCACTCCGCTCTTCTCACTTGATGGTCCCAGGGACCTCCGTACATCCTCAGCCAGCTCTTGGAAGTAGATATCCAGGCATTTCTTTCTAGTCTCTCTGGAAGCGCCACTGAAAACTGACCACCATGGGTGACCTTGCCGGTATTTGGCATTGCTTCATGCAAACTACCACAGTGTGGCAAACTGACCAGTGGTGGTGGTGTACCGTTGAGTTGGTTCCGACTTATAACACCCTGGATAGTGTTTCCAAGGTTGTAAAAGCAGGAGCAGAAAGCTTCATTTTTCACCTGCAGAATGACTGGTAGATTTTAACTGTTCACCTTGCAGGTAGCAGCTGAAGTTGTAACCCACTACATCACCAGAGCTCCTAGCTAACCAGTGGAAGGTAGCTAAAGCTCGTGAGCTCTCTAGGTTCTGTCACAATTCTATTTAGTTCCCACCTTATTTTGGAAGGGTTGGGAGGAAAAGGAACGTCTTTTCAGGATCACACAACGCTCTTGGGTCCCACGGTCATGTGTCAGCATGAGAGGACTGCTCAGGGAACCAACCATTGTTATTCATTAGAATGTTACATTTTTTGCAGTGGCTAGTTCTCTGGAGAAACGGTGACGCTATTCTAAAACTGTAGATGACCTACAATTGCATCCAGCTGGCTGAGAGGGGTATATCCTTGAGGGGGAGTCCTGGTGTGGCGCTGTGGGTTAATGCACCAGCCTGCAAAGCTGTTTGAACTGCAAGGTCGGCGGTTGAAGCTCACCAATCGCTCCTTGGAAACCCTGTATAGGGTCGCTATGGGTGGGATCCGACTCAACAGCACTTAACAATAACAATCCTTGAGGGAGGAGGCAGAAGGCCCATCCCATTAATAAACCCAGTTCTAGAAGGAACATGGGATGACACACAGCAGAAACGAGCAGCCGCACTAGCTGGGCAGGGCCGCTGGCCCTTGGGCCCCCTCATTGTACTTCCTCATGCCTGAGTCTAAGGGTTGAGAGAAAAAGGAATGTCTCTTCAGGATCACAAAACAGTCTTTGGCCCCACGGTCATGTGTCAGGATGAGAACCATTGTTACCTTGAACCATTGTTACTCATTAGATAGAATGTTACATTTTCTGCAGTGGCTAGTTCTCGGGAGAAACAGTAATGATATTCTAAAACTGTAGATGACCTATAATCACATCCAGCTGGCCGAGAGGTGTATCTTGTGATCAGAAAAAAAATAGCTGCTGCTTTTCCCAGTTACGTTCCGATCTCAGTAAGAGTTGTGCGCGTCTCCCATTCAATGGGGGCAGTGGTGGTGGGGGCAGCCCGTGAAGGTGCTGGGAGAAGAGAGGAAACAGGTGGGGCTCAATCAGTCTCCGCCAAGGGGGAAGAACCAAGGGGGGTGGGACACCAGGTGTTCTGCATGCCCCTTTGTGAGCAGGACTCTTGGCCACAGTGAATTGCCCATCTGAATTTCCAGGTGCAGAGGGGGTGGCGTGGTGCGGGGAGGTAAGATCCCTAGACATCTGAACATGCCCTGCTTATTTCTAACCCTCCCCTCTGCAGTAGAGAGGCTCGGTGTGCTAGAATGTTCTAGGGCTTTGGAGCTCATCCCTGCCTCCACTAGCACCCTAACCTGCTCTCTCACTGTGATTGGAATTCCTACAGCAGACTCCTCCCTCCTTCAGTCTTGCTCTTTCTAAAGCACCCATGTGATGACACCCACCCTCACTCACACTCTCCTGCTTGATGGCACCCAAGGCTCCCTGGTGCTCTTAGGAGCAGCCTGGCCTCCAGGAGATTCGTTGTTCCCTTTGGTTGTTTGATGATGCATGGAGGGGATTGTTCACTTTGCATCTGCTGTTCCCTCAGGCCGGGTGCCCCTCCATCCCCTACCCGGGCTGACTCCTATGGGAACCGCTTGTGCCTGTTTGAAACCTTCTGGTGCCCCCTGCCAATAGCCCCTGTCTCATGGTGCTGGTGTTTCTCCCATGGTCTTCCCCACTCAGCCCTATGAGAGCTGGGACTGTGCCTCGTGTGTGACCCTCACAGCCTGGACCTTGTGGAAATGTGGTTGATTGGATGGAGGCTTGGAGGATGTGCGACTTGGGGCTGGCTCCCACACCGAGCCTTGGTTTCCCCACGTTGCAATGGAAATGAAGGCCTTGGTGTCCCTGGGGGCAGGCATTCTGGGGCAACAAGTGGCACACGGCACAGCATGAGGAGTATCGTGGGGGGTGTTAAGGGGGGAGCTGTTCTTAGCTTGGAGCCCCACATCCTTACCTGGGCACCCAGGACTGAAGCCCATGGGAAGATTTCAGGAGAAGATGGGACCAGAGTTGGGCAATGGTGTTGGAGTGGGCAGAGGTGGCTGGATCTAAAAGGGTCCAGGGGACTGCAGGGAGAGGGACGAGTGGGAAATGAGTCAAGGGGCACCCCGTCTGCATCCTTTGAGCCCCACGTGACCACCCGTCGTCTCCTGGCTAGTCCCTCCGGAGCAACCTTTCAGACCCTGTCTTCATCTCAGTGCTAAGGGTATCAGCCTTGGTTTTTCATGAATTCACCTGGCGACTTGGAAATACCCTGATGGCCAGCCACAACCCAGACTGATCCCCTCAGACTCTCCAGTGGGCCCAGGCAGCCGTGGTGGATCAAATGGAAGGAAGCAGTGTGTTTGGTGGTCCTGTGTCATGCTGACTTGGCCTGAAGTTGCAAGTGTAACGTGTGTGGTTTGAGGGGAGCTGCATTAGTGGAAAGGACTCTTTTCCTGACCCCTAACAAAAAGCCAAACCAGAAGCAAGCAAGCATTTCATACAATGGTTTCCTGAAAAAGTAGACTTGTGTGTGGCAACAACCTGAGGCCCAGTAAGGAAGAGACTTGGTCTGTCTGTCACTGTGCTGATCCTCCAGGGTGTCTGAGGCATGGATCTCACCTGCAGGGCTTTGGCCTGCAGGAGGTGGTCCCATGGCCTTCACAAGGTCTGGCTTCAGATGTCGCCTCCCGCACATGGGAGCCTACTAGGTTCACACATAGTGTGACTCGGACAGATTGAATTCTGGAAGGAGAATCGTTGGGCCGGAGAACAAGTGGTTTCCAGTTACTGATCAATCTTGATGCTGTCGAGTCAATTCCCACTTACAGTGAGCGAGCCCACATGTGTGGGTAGACCCGTGCTCCATACGGTTTACAAGGCTGTGACCTTTGGGGAGTAGATGGCTAGGCCATTTTCCCAGGGGCTTCTGGGTGACTTCTCAGTTGGTTCCTGAGTGCTTCATCATATGTGCCACCCGGGTCATGAAATTGCTGACACCAAAAAACAAAAGAAAACCCACTGCCATCAAGCAGATTCTGACTCTTTTTTTTTTTTTTTTTTCATTTCAGAAACGATCCCCACCGGTGCCCCCACCGTACGAGCTGCCCGTGTTGTACAGGACAGAGGAATACTTTCCTGTGGGTGACAGGGAGGCAAAGCTTCATGCCCCTTAGTGACCCCTACATCTGCGAGCCCCACACTCCTCCCAGCAGGGACCTCGGAGGGTAGAATTGTGACTAGGGAGAAGCTCGGAGTTTGCTTTTTTATTTGTTGCTGATCTGTTTTTTTGTTTGTTTGTTTTTAATTTCTTCTCTTGCTTCAGTTGAGGCCACGGAGTTAAGGAGAGGCAGTTGGTCCCATGTGGCAGGGCCTCGGGGATGAGGTGAAGGCACTGTGTACCAGTTTTGGCTCACACCTGCCCTGTGTTTGAAACGGGAGGAGGCTGTCAGATCTGACCTACCTAGCTGTTAACACGGGGACTCAGGTTTCCCTCTGTCTGTGGCAGGCTCCCACTCCATTGGTACTGGTCTGTTTCCTGCAGCCCCCCAGCCCCCCAGCCCCCATTGGTCCTGTGAATCATCTCAATAAAGATGTTTAGAGGTCACGTGTGGTCTGGGTGTGAGAACACCAGGGAATGATTGTCTCCTTTTGACTATGTGTGAATGTTTTCTGGGAAGGCCCTGTCCGGACCCCCTGAAGTAGCTTTCTAATGTCACTGGACTTTTGCTTCCAGCAAGAACACAACTGTTATTGGGAGACCCCAGGGTATTCAAAGGTGTTTACCTTCTTTTCTTTTCATGGTTCCTCAGACCTGTGGAGGCTGTTGCTGGCTTTTCTGAACTTCTCAGAGCCAAGAACACTCTACTCACACTCACTCACACACACACACACTCAGAGTCACACTTGCCTGCTCTGCAGGACCGCACTAGAATCTCAAGGAAATCTAAAATAATGAATCAGGCAAGACAGCAGTAGAAAAGCAAGGAAAACTTGAATCTTGCTAATTTCAGGGCAGTGTTGGGGATTGAAAGATTAAGCATTTGAAAGAGGCAACATTTTACGTTAAGATGATTTTTGTAAAATTTTGTGCAAGTATCAGTTGCATCCAGAAAGAGGAACGTAAGTGGGTGACTTAACTGAATTTTTCAAACAGAACGCATCTGTTTAACTCCTCACCCAGAACAAGGAACCAGCAAACAGACAAATGTTGTCAATGCTCCAAACACCGTTCTAGTCCCACCCCGGCTGACACCATTCTGCCGTCAATTTAGACTGGGCTGCCGGTTGCTGTACTTTCTTTGTAAGGCTGGAGTATGAATAGACATGGGGTGGAGTAAGAGTAGAGTAAGACTGAGGTGTGGGGGGACTATGGAGTATGGGTGGGGCATGGGGGAAGCCTAGATGGAATATGAATGGAAATATGGGTGGAGGATGGATGGATATAAGTTGAATATGGATGAGATATGGATGGAGTATACATGGAAATATGGATGGCAGTATGAATGGGATCTGAGGAGTCTGCATGTATGATAGATGGAGTATGGGAAGAGTCTGGATGGAATATGAATGGTGTATGGCTGGAGTACACATGAAACTATGGGTGGGAGTTGACTGGAAGTATGGACGGAGTAAGCACAGGCAGGAGGCCATCATTTATGTCTGGCTTCACTGCCTTGACCCCTTGCTTTTTGTCATACATAGTTGCAGATAGTTTATTTTCACAGCTGTGTTGTATTGATCACAACTTTAATAACACGCTTAGCTGCTCACTCTACCCCAGTTTGCTGATGGAGAGCCTAGATCTGATGGAAAGTTAAGTTTTCAGGAAACTAGTTGACATCCCTAATTTCCTAATAGTCTGAGACCTCCCAGGTGTCTTTTTTTTCAGGTCGTGAGCCAGGACCCAGGGAATGTTAGATCAACCCTCAGCAACGTAAATTTCATAGACTAGAGACCCAAAAGACTGTGGCTTGAGAGCGTCGAGGTCCTGAGTCAGCCTGGCTGGGTGACAAGGCCATTTCTTACACATCTCAGCTCTGTGACCCTGGCCTAGTTACCTAGCGTCTCCTGTAGAATGCAGAAAAGAATGACATGGGCATATTGGGTGGCTCTGGGGATGGCAGGAGGTGATGTATGTGAGCACTCGGCACAGGAATGGTCATGGCAGCTGTAAGTAGCAGGGATGGTGCTCGATGGGGAAAAGTACTATCTGCTTTATTTCTTTATTGTCTAGTAGCACCCAAGAGTCTCAACAGCGAGTGACTCAGAGGGTGCCCTAAAATTTCAGAGTAAGAAACAAGCCATGGATGGGTGAGAGTGAGAAGTCTAACTAACTTATCAGGGTTTCACCTACCCTTGGATTCTTTCAGGGACTTTTCAACCTGAGGGAGGAAGGAGTGAGAGGTTGCATGAGAGCATCTTTGGGGATAAGGTGACAGATAACCTAGAATCGGCCATTGCAAATTTCCTGTGAGTTGCGATGTTTAACAATGACTTTTGGGGACACTAGAAGATACCTGAGGAGAGGGAAAGCCATGAGATGCTGAGAGTCTTCCACCTCAGTCCTTTGAGCTGCGTGTATTCAGGAGCTGCTGGCTTTGTGACAAGAGATCTGGTATGTTTTCATTTTAAAGCAAGTGCCGGACTTGACCATTAAATAAAGTGTTTGACTAATGGCTTTGGAAGGAGCTCTGGTAGCATAGTGGTTACGAATCGGGCTGCGAACCTTAAGGTCAGCGGTTCGAAACTACCAGCTGCTCCGCGGGAGAAAGATGAGGCTTTCTACTCCTGTGAAGATTTACACCCTTGGAAACCCTGTACAGGGTCGCTATGGGTCGGAACTGACTCAACAGCACTTAACAACAACAACAAAGCCTGTGTGTGCAAGGGAAGCTTCAACCTAGAACTTTCCTTTTTTCCTTTGTGGTCACTGTCAGACAGACACACATCGATCGGAAGCCTGGTCACTGAAAATTGTCATTAGAACAAGGATCTCCGGCCAACCACCTCTTCTGCTTTCCCAACCAGCTTTGTTGTTCAAAATGGTGATCCATGAGCTGTATCTGGTTGGCAGAAATGCTTGGTTTAGGCCTTAACTATGTTTTTAAATGCTTTCATGTTGAGAAAATGAAATAACCATCCAAGGAAAATAAAGTGAGGTCCGTATGTCATACTGACATATGTCCGTATGCCTGAATCAGCAAATATTGAAATTACTCAGATTCTTCACTTACCAGGCTAGTAAAAATGAGACACTTGGATAACAGCATTGATGAAATGATGAAGATATTTATTGGACTTTCAGCAAGATGGCAGACATACTACATGGACCCTCTACAACAGAGAGATGAGAGAAAAAAATCAAACAGACACAGATGAAAATTCTGGTAGCCTGAACTTCAGGAGAAAGGTTAGAGAGGTGGATGGAGTGCTTGCTGGGAGGAGAGGCTGAGCAGGGACCGTGAGAGAGGGACACCGACTGGTGAATGGTGGTCAGACTTCACCATCTTGTGAGCAACTTTGGCAGCAGAGGGAGGCCTGGCAGAGCAGATTCGTTCGGGTGACGGAAAAGGTGCGATGTCTTCCTTTTCCAGACTCTTCCCCTGGTGACCAGAGATGTGGCCAGCTCCCTCCCTCATCCACTCCCCCCAGCGCAGACCCTGTTTCCCGGAGTTGGGAGACAGTGTGAGGTGGGGGCCGGCTGTGCCACTTTGGCACCTGGATACAGGTGGGCTGAGCTCTAGACCTACAAAGCCTGCAGAGCCATCGGACCAGCATTTAACCAGTCACCCTACCCCCAGCTTCCCTGTGGTCCTAACAGACCCTAAAACCAGCTCCATCACAGCCCCCTCAAACTACTTCTGGATTGAGTGCCCTGAACATAGAAACACTGAGGCCACTAGGAACTCAATCTAGGGCCAGGAGCTCTCTGTCATATCCTTTCCACAACCACCAAGATCAAACTTTCCAAAATCAAAAACAAGAAAAGAATCCTGAGTGCAGCTTGAGTGAAAAAAGTTACCTAAAAATGAGAACAAATAGGACTAAGTTCTGATTTTTCAGCAGAAACCATGCAGGCAAGAAGGCAATGGGATGACATATACAAAACGCTGAAAGAACCTAGAACCTACTGAGTTGGGACATTCCCATTTGATAAAATATGCAGACCAACCCAGAATTGCTGAGAGAACAGAAGAGTCTTATTGAAAGAAAAACCCCTGCAGGAAAAAAAAAAAAAAAAAGATTGACCGTTAGAATATCTATCAAGCAAGCTGTTTGCTTTGGAGGAATCAAGACAAGAAAAGCCCATCAGGGCAAATCCCCTTCTAAGATTAAAACTCGAAGGGAATTCTCAAGCCGTCTATATGCTCACTGGTGACCACCTGGGTCTACTTGTGAGTGGAAGTGGGGGAAATGCAGCGATGCAGACCTAGGCTGAGTTTGGCCATGTTCCATTGACACCTGTTGACCTGGAGATGAGAGAGAAGAGGAAGGCCTGGCTGGTCTGTTGTTATGTGCCATGGAGTCAGTTCTGACTCAAAGCGACCCTGTACAGGGTTTCCAAGGCTGTAAATCTTTACGGGAGCAGAAAGCCTCATCTTTTTCCCGCGGAACAGCTGGTAGTTTCAAACTGCTGAATCTGAGGTTAGCAGCCCGATTTGTAACCACTACGCTACCAGCTAGTCTGTAGTTTAGGGAAATGTGTGAACTTCTGAGCTCACAGCTCACCAGCTGACCTAGCCAATGGGGGATTGAACTGAGTGAAGTGGCCAGCTGGTCTGAATTGTGGAGAGGTATGCATGAATCCCACACTTGCAGCTAGTACCCATTTGACCTAGCTTAGATGATTAGCTGACCAGAACTCAACCAGATGAAGGTAAAGATGCTTGATACAGTGAGCGAGTGCAAATTGCAACAATTTGATGAGCTAGAACTTTGCTTATGGATACAGTTGCTCAAAATTCTAACTGAAATAAGAGTCTTCATATTAAGGAACACTGGGTTGTAGGGATGGGCAATCTAGACATTGGCTATCAAAAATGGGGGGCTGTAAAGGGGTAAAGTGGCTGGCTTACAAGCCTTCTTGAATGTGCTCAGTTTCAGAACGAGTCGGGCAATGTAGAATAGTTTCCCCACCGAATAGTTTTCTTCTCCTCCAGATGTATCTGGTGAA